TAGTCTTGCGCTGCTTTTCTTGGAACGGGGATTTAATTCTGTTTTAGTTCTTTCTGAATATTTTGAATCCAGCTGTATTTCACTTCATGGCGCTTTTGGTTTGATTGAAAGTTGAAATCAATGCTTTTGAGCATTGTTTTTTCAACTGAATCAGTTGCCTTATTGCTTTTTACTCATTCTCAAGTATTTAGTTAATAATTGTTTATTTTTTATGTTATGAAGAAATTAATTTTCTGTTATTGAGAAGAGTTTTTTACGTTTTTTAATGTTGTTATCAATAAGTGAAAATTTCCAACCACTGTAGGAAACTGTGATTCAGCAGCCGTTGTTATTGCAAAAATCAGTAAGCAATGTGTTAACAGTCCGAAAATCATTTGTTGTTCTGTTCAATTTCACTGCAGATTAATTTATTGTTCTTGGAAGTTTGTGTTTGTTGTTGTTTAGATAAAGTAATTTCTTTATCAGCAATTTTCACAAAACTTGTTCACATGAGTCAGTAGTCAGTCGTTGAATTAGTTGTGCGGTAGGCACTGTCTAGTTCCTGAGTCAGTGACAGTTGGGACTGCTCTTTTCGTGAGCGTTTTTCCGTCGCTTTCTAATTGAACGGTTTTGTACCGTATGGGTAGTTTCCAGTCTTTTACTCATTTGAGAGAAAGTTGTTCGTCTGTTGCGCCAGTTTTGTGATAAAAGATTTTTAAAAGCGAAGATTGAAACATTCACTATCAAAAATTGTGGCAGCAGTTGCGAGATTTAAAAGCAATAAAAGGTGCTGAGAAACGTCCAGTTGTGGCATACACCTTAGAATGTAGGCGAGAAATTTTGCTCAGTGTTTAATTTACTGCCTTTTGGTGGAAAAGGTACAATCTGCACCATCTGTATTGTTGGCTTTTCCATTCTATTTTGAGTTGTTTTCTTTTGGATTCCTACTGAAAATAATCTACATGTAGCATATTTTGACCTTATTTTCTCCTCTCATTCTACTGTTCATAATTGGTTATACCATTAGGTTTGAAGAGAGGGGCGTGAAATTT